CATCTTGAATGATGTCTTCGCTTCCGGACGCTAACTTCCCTCTGAACATAAATAGTAAACGATCGAGAACATTCAGCTTGTTAAGTCTCCGACTTATTTCAAATAGTAAATTGTTGTACTCGATAGCAGACATTTCAAATATAAAATTAAGTGTTCCTCTCCACTTATTTTGATCTCCACCTGATGTTGAAAGTGCTCAATTTGTCAGTCCAACATGGCGGCTTGAAAAGAACGTTCCAGACGTTCATTTCACGGAAATGAAAAGTCACGCGAATTTTAAGTCACGCAAGAAGAAAGAAACACGATCATGAAAAAACCGACTGAATTTGTAAAAAAAAAATGGTGAATTAATTCAATTGCTGTTGTCATCGTGAAGTTGCAAAACAATGACAGCCGAGCTGACCCATTGAGCAACAGACCGACGAGGACTGTCAGATCTATTGAAAGGTCTCGCAAACTTGGATCATAACATATTAAGGAGTCACTCCTAACGTCAAATACAGAATAAAACAGAAACGACATGAAACAAAAAAAAAAAAGAAAGAAAAGAAAGAAAAAGAAAGCAAGAAAGAAAAAAAGAAAAAAGAAGTTAAAACTGAAGGGTAAAATATAGACATTTGCCTGATACCATGTTTTCATCTGTAAAACAAGGAAGGTAGGAAGGGAATTGTTTTGGTCTTGTTTTGGGGAGAGGTAAGTGATGTTCCAAGTTAGTATTCTGGTTTCTTTATTTGTTTGTCCAACATTTTTTCGCAAGGGTGGAGAGGGATGATTCCGGTATTAATAATGCTTAACCCTGGGGCCCACCAGTAAGCAGGAAGTTTTAAAAGTGAGCGAGGCTCGTGACCGCTGTTTGCTAAAGCGCGATAAGTTATTGACGGGTTGAAGGCGATATTACAGTGAATTGCACATTTTCTTGCCAGTAACTAAGCCATGAAACAGTTTTTTAATGTTTCTTTGTTTATTTTCTCATTGGACAAAGGAAACGAAACGGAAAATTCTCCGCCATTAAATAGGCGGTTGATCTGCAACCGTTTTCATTTGAACCTTTCTGTCCTTTCTTGTTCTTAGGGCTCGAGAAATTGTCTGTGTTCTTCATCTATTTCTTCGTTTGGCATTGTAAACGGTGCAGGTCGCTTTTCAATAGGAAGATGGCTTATTTCTGTTTTCTTGGGAGATCAGTTTGACACGTTTTTTTTTGTTTTTTTTGTTTTTGTTTTTTTGTTTTTTTTCATTTTTCCGCATATTTCGTTTTTCATCTTACTACTAATAAGTACTGTAGTCAGACCAGTACAGGCAACGTTGGCATCGCAGTAAATAAGCCCTTTTGATTAGTCGTGACAATTTCTGAAGTTTGTTTTTCAGAATGTCTTTTGCTGATCCTGATCGTCTTAGAAATCCAATCTTAATTTTTTCTTTTCTTTTTTTTTTTTTTGNTTTTGATTAGTCTTTGCACTTTCTGAAGTAGTTTTTCCCGATGTCTATTGCTGATCGTGGTCTTCTTAGAAATCCAATCTTACTTTTTTTTCGCTTGTTTGTTACGAGTCCTTAGCTTTTGTTGCGAGACAGACATCATTAATTTTACGAATGCGTATAGTACGTATTTCAAACTGTTCAGTTTATAATCTTCTCGGAACGAATTTTAAATGATCGACTGAATTTTCTACCCTCCTTCCCCACCCCCCGGAAACCCCTTTACTAAAGAACATTCCAATTACGGGATGGGTGAATGGGTAAGAGGATCTGGAAGAGGCAGTCATTTTCTCTTGTAGCAATTAACTAATGAAAATAATTTTCGACGCCTAAGACTTGGAAACGAGGAATTGTCAAGAAGCACTGACCTGCTTGCAGTAATCTGATAAAACCCGTTTCGGTCTTCATCCACTTTTGGTGTCAGTGGGCATCTTACGGGTGATTCACTAGATCACTGTTCATTTCATTTCGCCATCACTGATTCCGCAACAAGTACTTTCACTTTCAGGATCACGTCGTGTTCAAAATGGATTTCTTCAGACTCTTCGGTTTCAGCTGGACTCTCCGTGGGTAAATAAGGACTTCCCCAGTAACTGGAGAGTAGAAAACTTAGTCTAAAGTAATTTGATATGCTGAGAATCAACCTAAATAATTTCCTTCTGAACGTTAGTCCTACAAAAGAAATGGTGGAACTGCGTTTCTTCAGCCTCGGTAGGATTCGGACCCATAACCTCCGGATATTAGATCATAATAACTCCGTCGACTTAGCTACAACGAAAACCATGATAAAGGAGGGATTTTCCAAAAACCCTTCCTCGTAGTTTTGATTGGTCACAGTTACGCCGCTGTTTCTCTTCGCGTAGTGATCTCTTGTTTGAGTTGGTTGACCTCGCCGTTTTCAAAAAAGGTATTTTCCGAGTCTTTGTCTGATGTACAATATCAGTTCAGCACTGCTTGCAAATCAAACAACCCCTGGCAAAAAAGAAAAAAAACGCAACAACAATGGAGGTATAACAGCAGGGTGACCGGGAACGTCAACTCATAATTCTCCATGCATTAAGAAATTCCTCACTTATTAAAAGCACCTTGGATGAAAGGAATAATTCGGAAATACGAGTACAGTGGAACCTCGATTTAACGAACCTCTACTTAACGAAGTCCTCGATATAACGAACGATTTTCTATGTCCCGGCCAAAGTTACAGTAAAATGTATGGAATAGAACCTCGATATAACGACCCTCGATATAA